ATATGAAAGGATCTATTAAGGCAACTTAGCTAGAGAACTTCAATATTATGTTTAAAAATTTAATTGAATCATAAATCATTCAAATAAATAAGAAAATGATAGTTTGGGAGTTTAAAAATATTTTAAACAATTGAATGAAAATCTTTCTCCAAGCTAACTGATGGAACTCTAATAGAGGGGGTATTTGTCACAAAAGTAAAAGTTGAAGGAACATCTTTGTATAAATGAAAGTTCGAGGGAGGGGAATAACTGTCACAAACACCATAGTAGAGGATGTCTTCATCGCAAATGAAAGTTAAGTGTTTCATGGAATACAATTGAAAGTTAGGTATCGCATAAGTAGCGGTGCAATTAGACGTCACACAGTTATTGCCAAAAGAAACCGAGGCATCACATAGGATGATTGAGCAGAAACGCCCTCCTGATTCAAGAAACGTCATTTGTTGAATGCTGCATGATACCTCTTGTACGTAAAACCCAATACAAGCTGTGATGTTCCTATTTCAAGTTTAATTCATACTATCAAACAAGATTTCTTGAACAAGTTGAATAGACTATATATATATATATACACAATTCAATAGGAACACTACCAAACACTACTTAGGGGGTGTTCGCCATTCGTACTTTTGTTTTCTGAAACGAGAAAAACTTTCATGTTGTCCAAGACATTGTAATAGCTCACTTTCTTGCTAGTGAATCAGAGGCCGATCTGGTTCCTTGTGCACATGATTCATGATTGTAGCAGTTCCGGATTCCTTATTATTCCAGTATGATTCTATGGCAATCAATCGCTACAATGCTAAGTTGATGACTAGGTTCAATTGTGGTTTGGTTTTACCTTTATGGCTCTCAATGATAGAGTTTTGGGATTTCCTTCAATTCGTACTTTCATTCTCGATCGGATCGACCCTTTTTGCGATTTGAGGTGCCTCCCAATCTGCCCGAGCTTTGGCAACATTGATTGATATTATTCCCATAGAATCCTGCTTTTGCGTCAATAATTGATTTATGTATGGTTGTCACGGGTTGGCTTTATTTTATTCTTTGAACTAGGAGGGATTTGGTTAATTTGTGTTTGGATGCACGGTTGCTAACTGGCTAACGCTCTCTCCCTTTTGCTTTGGCCTTTGTTTGTGCCCATCACCCATGTACCCCTTTTCTGGGCTCATGTCATAGTTTTAAAAAACGAACTTTAACCACCAAATCCTCAATGGAACTTATCAATAAAATTATATGTTATTAACGCCCTGTTTGTTTTTCATGAAGTTATTTAATTGGATAAGTATTTTCTTGATATTTATTCAGGTAAATGTATTTATTCATGTTTTTTTATTTTTCAGATAAATAAAATAATGACTGTTTTAACTATAAAAATCTATTATTAAAAGAGACAATTTTGTTGTATTCAAGTAAGTATTGGCAAATGGGTAAATGATATCTAAGGAAAATCTATTTTCTATGGATTCCACATAAATACAAAAAAAATAACATTGATATATTGATCAATTTTTCCTTCTCTCAAAATCTAGAAAAAATAAATGCCCCCTAAAATGAAAAAAAAAAGATGCATATATATATATATATATATATATATATTGCTGTTATTAGGTTGGTCCTGAACATGTCTGTCTATCATTGAGGAGTCACAAGGCTCACAACTCACAAGAAAATACAGCAACTATGGACCATGGTCGCAGAAGATATGAATTCATGCATCATTTTCAGTACTTTGAAAGAATAGATATGCAACTTGTTATCAATTGTTCAAGAAATCTGATTAAAAATTACAGTCTCACTGAGACTATTAAGTTGATTAGTTAAGGGGATTTATTGGACCGCTGGTGGCTTATGTTCATCATAGTACGGACGGATGAGAAGTTATGGGCCCCCTTCTGGTCGATTTTGTTCCAAGATATAGGTGGATGTACTAGTCGCATGTGAGGGCTTTGTTGTCTCTGTTCTCGATAGAAGCATGTGAAATCTTGAAAAAGGACAGAGGAAGAGATAGATGGGAGGGTGGGGGAGGGATTAGACACGCCCACATGACTTCTTGGAAAATGAAGTATCGTTGGAGGGAAATTTCGCCATGTCTCCTTAGGCTGTGTCCAATCACGACTGTATATACCAGTGTTCTTTATACATACATATAGATAGACATTAGATGAGATGAATTGGTAGCTGTTTCATTGGCTGTGTGATCCATCATTTTGCTCCACGCAACCATAGGAGCATATGGCTCACAACCATTTAATCTCTCATTTACATTTATGACCGGTGCCAAGTTAAATGATTGGTATCATAGCAAGTAAAACTAGAGGTGAAAATGGATCGGATCATCAGCCGATCTGATTTTATTTGGTCAAATTCGGATCACTCTTGATCCGATTTTTGGATTTAGATTCGGATCGAGATCCCTCTATTCAATTTTATGTGTTATATATTTATAAATATATATAATACATATATTTGTTATTTATTTATTTATAAATATGATATTTATATTGTATTTTTATAAATTTGCTATATTATTTATTTTTTATAAAAAAAATATGTATATATATATATATGATAAAAATAATTAAAAAATATTTGTATTTTTTGTTTTTTCTTTATTTAAATTGATATGTTTTATTTTTAAAATAATTTATTAATTTTTAAAGAAAATAAGTCGGATCAAATCAAATCCAAATATCCAACTAGATTCGAATTCATGTCAAGTCCTATTAGATTTGATTGGATCGGATCCGATATAATCAATGTCGGATAGCGAACAACTAAGATTGAGGTCACAACATACTAGTAAACCATAAGGCTCAGATCGGAATGAATATAGATACAAATATGTAAAGCGTAAAACTTTCATATTTTATATTATTTTGTATGTATTTGTATTGCACATATGTGTTATTTATACTCTTCCAAAATTGAATATAAGAAATCCAGATTTTGTCGATCACATAATTTATCCTTATTGATGATGCGCGATCTGGAAGCTCCTAGCTGGAAGATGACCTGGACCTTAGTCATGTAGCGAATTGGACCAAGCTGCAAGATAGAGGATTAGAGCACCCGGGGTGGTTAACCCAGCGAGGTCGCTCTGATGCTTAAGTCAGTACTGTATCGTGATTGCGAGCTAAAATTTGAGGGCTAGAGAGCTTGGGTGCAAGTAATCGCACGTACCTGGACCATGGAGGGATTGATGCCTTTATATAGCTAAGTTATTGTGGGTTTCCCAAAACAGTTCCGAGATCTGCAGCCTAAATGGATGAGATTCGTTTCCGCTTTAGTCGGGGAATAACGTATCAGTCAATGAACCTCATTATCGCCGCCCGATTCGGACGGGAGAAGATAAGGCTTGCCATTATGCAGTATGATCCCATAATATTTGAAGTTTGCTGGGAAGCTATTGGGATTTATTATGTATCACTTCGGTTCCCAGGCCCCAAACTCGATTAGGCGCCGAAGTGGCATTACGTTGAAGTGACCTTACGTCGAGATGACTTTATGCCGAGTTTCGTATACCGCTGACTAAGCTTCCCTTACTGAGTTATCATACTACAGGCAGATCGCGTCCATGTAACTTTTATTTAATAGGTCGTGCCAAATTACACCCCATCACGTATACCGTTCTCTCGTGAATAAAAATAAGATTAAATCCAATTTCAACTATTAAGTATTGGTCAAGTTAGTTGTCCATTTTTCTAAAATTATCCCCACATTTTTATGTTTTTAAATTTAATGATAAAAGAAGCTTATATTTATTTTTGTTATTATTTCTTGAAATGGGTAGTGAATGGTCAATTAGTCATGACGGTCCAATTAAAATGATCCAGCATGGGGGAAAGGTAACTATTTTTAGATTGCAAAGGCAATGCACGTTTAAGCACGTCTTGTAACCATTTATCCGTGTATGATGATTGAACTGTACATCTTTTATTTGTCAGTTGTCACGTCACGCTCTCTAGATTGGGCTTTTGCCGAGCTTAGAACCGGATGAGTTGGAGCTCGACTATCCCATACACCTGAACTGGATCAGGCCGACCCATTCGAACAGCCTTACAATATGAGGCTATAAAGGCGGTTCAAATGAACCTTGCAAGGACTGAATCCGGTTTGGTGGAAAACTGGAAATACTGTTTTAGTTTAACACGTTTAAGCACGTCTTGTTAGCTCTGCTTAACATAGTAGTAGACTAGTAGGTGCTAAACTGTTAATGAGTAATATGGGCCTTCCCTCGAACACCTGAGGAGTGAGGACACAAACGGTGCTCACGAGATGGGTCCCAACGAAACCAACCAAACGCTTGTGTAGTTGTGTTGTGCTTGTGCGAGACTCCTCCCGCTCTTCCTATTTATTTCCTGATAAGATTGGATTTGGGAATTGGGAATTTGGAGGAGACAATCACGGGACTACCTCAACAAGAATCGGGCCTTAACCCATTCCTACCGTAAGAAAAGAAAAGGAAAAGCGTTCAAAGTTCATTCTTCAAAGCTAAAGCCAAAGCTAAAGCAGTGGTCTCAAGTGTCGGCAGATAAGATACTGTCTACGTGTCAAGATCACAGAGGCTCATCACCAATTTTGACTAATGGATGTAGTATTTTTAAGAGAGGATTCGGGACCCACGCCCTTTTCTTAAATGTTAATTAATAATCGTTACCCACACCACACGAACCACGACGTCCCCTACTTTTACCTCCTTTAAATTCCTGATGCCTTCTATTCATTCTCTCCTCACACCGACGCTTATTAAATGACATTGTTCCTCTGATTCTGATTGGATGTATACAAGTTTATCGGTCATTGTCGAAAAGACCGTTGGATTGGAACCTCTATTTCGACAAATAAGATTACATAGCAAGGATCTTGTATCTGACGATTTCCCTGTGGGCCAGCTTAATTGAGAAGACTGTGTACTAAACTGTAAAATCGTAACTGACCAGGGACTGTATCGTCACGCCACTCCCTGCCAACCCACATTATAAGAAGTTAAGAAGCAAGCTAACAAGTTGTGGAAATACTGCTTTAACACGTTTAAGCTTTGGCAATTTATCAGAGAGAAAACAAAAACCGATCTTTACAAATGTCTACCCATCTCTGCTATTAAAACAACCACCACAGTGAGGAGAAAACCCTCTGGGCCTGCCTTAAATGGTTGCTCCAGAACAATCTCCACTCCATACCGGCATGGCTAAAACCCCATTTCGGACCAAAACCTCCTCTTTCCTCACGGACGCCATTCTCTTCGTTGGAGGAGCAATGGTGGCTTTGCTACTGGTCTGGTCTCTCTGGTCTTTCGTCGAGCCTACTCCTAACTCTTCCCCTAATTTTTCTTCTCCGGTCACCCAGCCAAATGCCGCCGTCTCGGAGGCCTTCTCTGCAGAGGATTGCGCTGAAATTGCTGCCTCGGGGTCGGGGGTTAACCTCCGTCACGACACCCCTGCTCCCACCTTCTACGACGATCCGTATCTCAGCTACACCATCGACAAACCCATGAAGAACTGGGACGAGAAACGTCGGGAGTGGCTGAAGCACCACCCATCCTTCATCCCCGGGGCAAGTGAGCGAGTTCTCCTTGTGTCAGGATCGCAGCCGTCTCCGTGCCGTAACCCCATCGGCGACCACCTGCTCCTGAGGTTCTTCAAGAACAAGGTGGATTACTGTCGAATCCACGGCTACGATATCTTCTACAACAATGTGCTGTTCCACCCCAAGATGAAATCGTTCTGGGCGAAGATCCCGGTGGTCCGGGCGGCAATGATTGCCCACCCGGAGGCCGAGTGGATATGGTGGGTGGACTCGGACGCGGCGTTCACGGACATGGAGTTCAAGCTGCCACTGGAGAGGTACAAGGAGCACAACATGGTGCTCCACGGGTGGACGGACTTGATCTACGACAAACGAAGCTGGACGAGCCTGAACGCGGGCGTGTTCCTCATCCGAAACTGTCAGTGGTCGATGGAGTTTATGGACGCCTGGGCCAAGATGGGGCCGCAGACACCGAACTACGACAAGTGGGGGAAGACCCAGAGATCAACCTTATCGGACAAACTCTTCCCGGAGGCGGACGATCAGTCGGGTCTGGTTTACTTGCTGCTGGAGGAGAAGGAGAAATGGGCGGACAAGATTTACTTGGAGGGGGAGTACTACTTCGAAGGATACTGGTTGGAGATCGTTGGGACTCTGAACAACATAACCGACAAGTACGTAGGAATGGAGAAAGAGATACGGGGTTTGAGAAGGCGACACGCTGAGAAGGTGATGGAGCACTACTCACTGGTGAGGGAGCCGTTTCTCAAGGCTGCCGGCAACGGCAGGGGAAGCTGGAGACGGCCGTTCATCACCCATTTCACCGGGTGTCAGCCCTGCAGCGGGGAGTACAATCAAATGTACTCCGGGGACAGTTGCTGGCAAGGCATGGAGAAAGCTCTGAATTTCGCCGATAATCAGGTGTTGCGTAGCTTTGGATTCATGCATCGGGATTTACAGGATTCTTCATCCGTTTCACCGTTGCCGTTTGATTATCCAGCCTGACCGGTTCATAGTTCATCATAAGTGATGGTAGATGCCAAAGTAAAAAAGAAAAGGTATGTTGTAGTATATCTGTTACTTTCAGACTCGTACACAACTTGCATGACTCTTCATGTGCAAAGTGCAAATAGCAAGCAAATCATGATTCATGACACATCAGAATCAGAATCAGATGAATGTATGTAGATGAAGATTTTTACATTTTATGGTTACGTGAAGGATCCAAATCCAAACATGTTTCTGTTGGCTGTTGGGTAAAAAAAAATAGAATTAATCGGATTCGGACCAAACCCCAAAGTCCAAACCGAACTTTTTTCTATTTTGTTTTGTTGTAGGCTGTCTGTAATTAATTAGTTTTATATAGTAAAGTATAAGCTGGGTTGGAGGAAGCTTTGGCTTAATCGCTTTCTAGAACTAAAACAAAAATAAATAAATAAAGGAGTGGGCTACACAATCTCATGCTTAAACGAGGGCTTGATTGAAGGATGATTCCTCACGTGTCAGCATGCTCTCTCTCTCTCTCTCTCTCACTTTCCAAAGTCTTTGCAGGAGAAGTAGGGAAAGGGTGGATGATATTTCCTTTTGACCAGGTCGTCCTCTCATTTCATTTACTCTTTTATTTATTTGATGGAACTTCCACTTGTCGCGGCGACACAAACTGCCGTTATCATAAGAGTCTGTCATACCATATTACCATAATACGCAGTGTTCAAAAATTCAAATCAAAATTAGTGGAACCGAGAGGTGTTTTTTATTTTTTATTTTTTATTTTTTTGCGATTAAGACAGTCGTGATAAGACTTTAGAGTTTAGACACAAATACAATGCGCTTTATTAATCGTCTTGAAAACTGATGAAGATTACTAGATTAGTTTCCTACAATAAGGGCAGTGGTCCCGTCACTCTTGATCTTGAATCTCTCCACCTGTCTGCTCAACCACTGACGGCTGACTTACACCGATACCTTATTTGTTTGCCCACTTGCCGGTTGCCACCTGGGATTAATGCAGAATTTCCGACAAGTGTAATCGCTCTCAAGTCAAAATCAAGGGAATCCAGAAACTGATCTGCGTTTTCTTTCGGTCGGGTCTGCCCATGCTGTGGACCAGTTTTGGGTTGGACCCGTCTAAATCAAAATCAATTTGGACAGATTGGAGGGTCAATAATATATATTAAATCGGATCGGTCCAGACTTAATGATCCAAAGTATTTATTGGAATGGATTGGACCTAATTCATCCATAATGATTTTATATTGGATTACATTGAATTGAATTGATAAAAGATAAGAATACAAGTGTCAATGTACCAGGTTTGGGTTGGAACCATTCTAGATTAAAACTAATTTGAACAGATTTGATGGTCTAGATGTTGAATTGGACCAGTCTAAAATGGTTCAAAGTATTCATCAGATTAGATTGGACCTGGTCCAACTGTATTGGACTCATATTGGACCAAATCCAGTCCACTTGACACTTCTAATTGTTACTAACTAGTATAGAAAATTGTGAAAAATAAAGAAAATCCATGAAGAAAAAGTGCAGAAATCTTTTTATCATCTCCAAAGATTCATTCTCAACAAATGTAGTTTTTTATATCAATTTTGGAAAACTGTGCTTATGGCCCTTCATCGTTCACCCCCTGTATCTCTCTCTAAGATCTCAATCAAACGAAAAAAAAAAAGGAAAAAAGAAATCACCCCCCCCCACTTTGAAATTTCACTTTAGTATCTTGAACTTTGGTTGTCAAGTTAGTATCCGAACTTTAAAACGTGTCACTGCAGTATCTAAACTTTCAAAAAGTGTCAAGTTGGTCCCTGTCATTAATCGACCATCAGTTATCTGTTGAAAATATCAAAACTACTCTTCAAAAGAAGACACTGTTCATTATCTTTTACCTTGACCCAGTGCCCAATCCTATTAATGAATCGGTGTCGATCCAGGTCAAAATAGATTTGGTTGTGAAATGAGAGTTTTAATCAATTTGAAACAACCAAAACTGATCCAATCCAATTATCATTTGGACATGGTAATACAGACCAATGCCCTATATAACTGGGCTAGATTGACTTAATTTATTGGGTTTGCTCGACCTAAAGGTGCAAGTTGGGTCGGATTAGGTTGGGTTGATGTCAACGCTAACCCAACCCAAGTTGTTGAGCCCCCAACCCTAATACTTTGGGTTGGGTTAGGTTTGATTGGGTTGGGATTAGTCTCAAGTTGGCCTTATTCTCTACATCCTTTTGCCAAATGTAATTATTTCCTATACCCAAAACCTAAAGTGGATGGAATAAACATAGATGGACATTGAGGTGGAGATGAAAAATATACATGGAGAGGTAATATATAAGTGTTGATTTTTGGACTATAGGGGGGCATGGCTCCCGTGGGTACTTTGGCTCTACCTCTGTATGGATGCATTGTTGCATTACATGCAAGCATGAATAGTGATTGTACACATATATGAGTATTTACATGCATAAATAGATATTTATATGATATCTATACATGCAAATATTAAGTTAAATTTGAATTGGGTCAGATTGGTCAAGGCCTCTACCCTAATCGAACCCAAGATTAAGTTAGGTTCATATTTTTTTAACCCTAACCCTAACCTACTTTTTCGGGGTGGATTTGGGTTAGCCCAGCCTAAGTTGCATCCCTAGCTCGACCCATTAGCAGGTCAACACCACATATAGTGCATGTTATTTTCGATTGTCCCTCATTATAAACACCACAAATTTGTTTTTCTTAAAATTACCCCCCGTCAGAAATCTCCTCATTGTTGTTGTGTTGGTGGTTTTACAATGCATAAAGGGAATCGATTGAATAAGATACTTAAGGTGCTATTTTGGCAAATCTTTTTAATTAGGAAGATCATCTGGCAGTACAAATGAACAAAAAATATATCGAGCTTTTGGGGTCTGCTCTTCAAAAACAAAGACCGTTTGATAAGCAACTCGATCCATTAGGCTTTTAAATAGGCATTTAGAAGCTATTTGTCGTGCAAAAAAGAACAGAGCTTCATTTAAAGCTTCCCAAATTTAGCATTTTAGATCTTTTTGTGCAACGCATTTTATGGGTTTTTTGACTTTTGGATACCAAACCAAAAAGACAGATTTTTGGTATTCCAAACTTATCGAAACCAAAAAGACTGTACTGAAAAGATTTACTAAACGTCCCCTAAATTCATGGAAACCCATACAATGTGTGGGATTTATTAAGGGAAATCAATGGTAAATTGACCAGGTCGAAGTATAACCTAAATATTATATTTGAATTATATATAGCCGGTGTGACTACAACCCAAGTTGAAGGATAATTTCCCGCATGTAAAACGGACAAGGGTGATCTGAATCTGATTCGATTTTCAATCGAACCCCGATCCAATCTGAGAATTTGACAAAAGGTTATTCAAATACGACAAAAATAAGATCAGATCGGATCATGATCCAATCCATTTACACCCCTAACAAAGACTAGGTAATACATCCTTTGACCTAATTTTGAGTTTTTTTTTTTTTTTTTACTTTGATAAAACGCCCATATGCTTTATCATACGAGTCCCATTTTAGAGTTCAAATCAGCCCCCCACAAGATAGTTTCCCACAACGTTCCACAGCACATCCCTGCCATATATTAAAAACATCTCCCATGATAAGTACCAAAAATGATGAAGCATCATCGGAAAATGCTCTCAATACACGGCAAAATATATTATGGGATGTTGTGGGAAACTATCTTGTGGGGGGCTGATTTCAACTCCCCACTTTAGCGCTCAAATGAAAGCAGGGAACTGGTTCTTATGTTTCCAGTGCCAAAATCAAATCAAAATAGAGGTTTATTATAGTTTTATAACATATTTATTTGTGTATTATGTTAGAAAAGATTATTCATGTGAAGAGGAGTGATGTATTGGCTGGTAGCAGCAAGTTGATCGTGGGGGACGTAGGGACTAGGGAGATTAATTAAGACTTGAGAGGTTTACATTGTTCCACGATAACAGCAGTGGCCCAGTCGCTATTGTCAGTCTCTCCAAGCCTGTCTGATGAGTGTCTGCTCAACCACTGACGGCTCACTTGCACCCACACGCCCATACCGTACTCGGTTGGCCGCTTGGGGGGAATCAATGCACGCTTTGGACAAGTTCTAGGCGTTTATCCCAGCAATCCCTCTTAGTCTCTTACCTTACAGGTTGCAATAACAGCAAGCACGTCGAGGGCAATTCCCGCTTGGTTGGTTGGTTACTGCCACGCGTTGCATTCTCGCATGCATAATCACCAAATTCTGCTTTTTCACTTTTCAATGTGACAGTGCCTCGTGCTTTCAATGGATCAGATTTGATCCAGGTCAAAGTATACCCGGTTTTGAATCCATAAATAAATATATAGAATTAGTCTCCTGCCAAACCGGCCTTATTGGCTCTAAAACCACTTTAGTGGGTGTGGATTGGTCCACACCACACCCTATGGCGTGGCAGGGATCAATCCACACTATATCATAGTTCACAGATGTTTTGAACGGTTGATAAACTGTGTGGATTGGATCTAGGGGTGGGTTCGCCTCGCCAAGGTTGCATAAGGCTCAAGCTCGGTTCGAGCTAGAACATTGAACTCGAGCTCGACGTGAGCTCGGTTCGAGCTCGACGCGAGCTCGGTTCGAGCTAGAACATTGAGCTTGAGCTCGATTCAAGTCAAAAACTCATTAGCTTGAACTCGATTTGAGGAAAAATATTTTATAAAAATAAAAAATTATATATAAAAAAATTTTGTTTGATATTTAAAAAAAGAAATAAGAATTATTATATTTTTATTATATATATTATTTTCTATAATTATATACATATATATATATATTCGAGCTCGGCTCGTTTATTAGTCGAGCTTGTAAATCGGGCTCGAGCTTAGCTCGAAGTTCGGTCAAAACCGAGCCAAGCCGAGCCGAGCCGAGCCAAGCTTTTCATGAGCCTAGCTCGAGCAGCTCGTGAAAAGCTCATCTCGTTGCCACCCCTAATTGAACCAGTCTACACCTACAATGGTGTTCTATAGGCATGGTGTGGATCAGTCCACACCACAATTTTTTATTCCATGCATCTCATATACATTTTATGAATCATAAATATTTAACTTTTGCATTTTATATGATAAATATATTGAAAAATGCATCAATAAATTAATATTAATTAATAAATATTAATTTTTATAAAAATATTTGTAAAATAATTAAAACATTAAAAAATATATTTTAAATATTATTTTATTGATAAAAACATTAAAAAATTAAGTAAAATAATTAATATTTTATTGACAAAAATATTAAAAATAATATTTAAACAATTGATAAAACAAAATTTTGCAAAATAAGCATAGCATCAAACGATTTATGCAAAATAATAATCCATTAATTCCCGTACTAGTTGTAAGTAGACCTGTTCGGGCCGGGCCGGCCCCCGAACGGGCTTGAACATGCAAATGAGCCGCGGGCTTAACCTCGGTCAAAAAAGCCCGACCCGCAATAAATTCGAGCCGGGCTCGGGATTTGCCAAAATAGCTCGGCCCGACCTATAGACTAAACTTAAAAAACCCTAAATCGAACCTCTCTTCTCTTCACATCCTCCTTAGTCCTCACACTCTCAGGCAGCCACACAACCGGCGAGGCGGCGAACATTCACCGGCGCAACAACTCCGACGGTGAGTCCTCTCTCTCTCTCTCTCTCCTCACTTCTCTTTCAAATCTCAGACACCAGCGAGGCAGCGAATATAGGCACCGGCGGCGGCTATGAGTTCTCTCTCTCTCTCTCACAGACGCGAACTGACACACTTTTCACTGTTAAAATCGCAGCTCACCGCGAACTCAGCTTCGACAAACACAATCACCAGCGGTGAGTAAAAGCCCAGGCTCGGACTCGGGCTTTGGGCTTTTTATCAGGGCTGGACTCGGGCCCAAGTTGTAGGCCCGTTGGTCGGGCCGAGCTCGGGCTCGGGCCTAACAAATTTTTATTCATGAAGAGTAAAAGCCCGGTCTGGCCCATGAATAGGTCTAGTTGTAAGACAAGAATAACATCAAAAGGGAGACACAATACAAGGATTTTCGGAGGGAAACATTATTCGCACAATAGAGAAAACAAAAATAACGATCAGCTGTTTAGGATTTTGCATCAAGAGGGAAACACAGTACAAGGATTTTTGGATGCAGATCTAACATTTGTCAAAAACAAGATGTGAACACTTGAAATGGAACTAAACAGAGAGAGAAAGAGAAACATACATCAGCAGGTGGACTGGTGGAGGAAAGTTGCAGTAGTGGAGAGCTTCAGTGGGCGGTAGAAACCTCCAACGGTAAAATGTGAAGCTAACAAATAAGGTTTCAGCCTTTCATGAAGAGTGTGAAGCAGGGGATCAAAGAATAGACTGTGGAAGGGCCCTAACCACAAGTTTTTGTAGTTGCCACTAAATTGAGGTATGGACGAGCATGGACTGGTCCCGTCCACAACCAGCCGAGCAGGTGATCATCCCATAGATGACATCCACGAGATGAATACCAAACCGAACACCCCCTAAATCGGGACTATGACTATATGGCTTATCCTATCATTTGTCAATAAACCACTTGACACAGTTGAACATAATATAATATGATGATATTTACGAATATAACATGAGAATGATAGGAATTAGGCTGGGGTGTCCTTGTAAATATGCTGATATACATATATAACATGAGTATGTGGTTGGTTTAGATCTTAACCGGCAAGGCAATGGGTTGGATTGATTTGGTTTGTGGGGTCTGCCCAACCCATTAACAGATCAATATTGCACGAGCCTCCCCATTGAAGACACCTCAAAATAATGCTTCTTATAACTTCTCTGGTACTCACTACTCAGAAATGTCCTCGTCACAGTCAAGATTGGAGTCAGAATTGGAATTGTCTATTCCCAATGTCTGTTTAGTTAAGACAGGAATCAAAATTGGATTGTTGATGTTTGGTTCAACTGGAAACTGCAATCGCAATTAACCAAAATTTTCAGTTTTGCCCCAATTAAAAGAAGAAAAAAACAAGAAAGAGTGGAATCTCTGTTCAGCTAGCCTAATACTGACGGCCAACGGTATTAACAGCGGCGTGGTGGCTACTGAGAGGAGGAAAACGAGGAAGAAAAGGAAGAAGAGATAGTGGTCAGTGATGGTCTTTCCTCACCAGAGAGGTCGTCGGCGGTGACTACTTTGATGAAGGAAGGTATGGTGAAAGTCCGAAGGAGATGCTTAGGACTTGGGTCGATTAAGGCTTTGGAATGGACTTGGGTCGATTAAGGCTTTAGAATGGGAATACGAGAGAATCGGGAATGACCATTATGGGGGTATCTCATTCCGCCTGGAATGAGAATGGGCATTCTAAGCGCCTATTCCCACAAACCAAACGGATCCTAAAACACTTTTGCAGTTTTGCTATCTCTGAGAGATGAGGATTGAGGAATGCGATGCAGAGGATGCTCTCTTATAACTCTGGAAGGCTTTCCCGCAGTGGCTTCTGGCATTACATGAGCTGAGAAGCCCGGAATGATGTAAAACGGCATTTGGAAAAACCTGAAAAATAAAAAATAGACTTACAAGAGATGCAAAATCAACTTTCCTAGGAAACTTCTTAGATAGCTTTTTGAAGCGGTTCAGTAACACAGTTCAATCAAACGCAGAAGCCCTCTCGATCGAGCTTTTAACAAGATCTGGAGAGCAACACATAGCTTGACACGACAAACCCAATCATAGCAATGCACATCATTACATGACCAACCCACTTTTAAGTTTTAGTGAATCCTCTAGTGTTTGGTTCGGTTTATGTGGCTGCAAAATCGAGAAAAACAATTAATGTGGGCGTTTATGACACATAAGCACCATTAGGCATTACATCAACAAGTGCCAATAAAGGCCTACCCATTTCAGGAAGCTCCAAAATGAAGTTTCCTGAAACAGGAGCATAGAAGATGTTTGCAAAGCAAACATCAATAAGTATGGATGAAAATTAATGAGGTCTTTGCTGATGGAGCACCTATGTGGCAGTGTTTACTCAATAAACATAAGCGGAACCAAACACATACTAAATCATATCCTCATTCAAGATGCCTCAAACAGGGTACGTTTATATCACAATTATCTCATGTTTCAAGTTCAACCTTGCATTAATCAAAACTCTAACTTGAAAAAGCAAGGTGCAAATCAGCTGGCTGTTAAGGTCTCCTGCCGGTTGTAGCAGAGATTTGCCTGCACCTGGGTTGGGGGTTATGGCCTTAACTCTTAAGGGTTGGGGGATGGGCTTCGAGGGTAGGAAGAACCCAAAAGCCATCAACCTAAACACATTCTGGGCAAAGCAACGGAGGGCCTCATAAGTCATAATCTTCTGTTACTTGTTTTGCAAATTTACAATAAAGCATGTTTACCCACCGGATATAACCAAAGAGTGGAGTTCAAACTCTAAGTAGAAGAGAGATGAATGTTAGAAACAAATGTATTGAATATGAAATTACATTGGGGGTAAACTTATGAGGAGAATCAATTATTATACAAATAAACAAGTAGGTAATGTACTGTTTTCCTAAAATGACAAATATTAAGGAGATTCATTCCACAATTGTGCTACTAAAGTGGATGGGCATTATGCAATTAATTACCTCTTGCTGATTTTTGTACAAGGTAATTAGACTGAAAAGAGCTGAGAGCACTGTTAGAAGATTTTGCAATTCAAGCATCTCTGCAATAATTTGCCGTTGATTAGATAAAGAGATTGTTGAGCATGATTGTCCTTGAGAAATTAGGATGCGACTGAATAACTTATTTCAACAACTGAAACTAGATGCAATATGAAGCTCGTATTCTGTGATGAAAAAATTGCAGAAGCATTAATTTAGCAATGAGAAGTCATACTCCTTACGTCACTTCAATAAATTAATCAATTTAAACAAATGAAAGATGGATAGATGGGGTTCCCGCCCCACAGGGTCAAGAAAATCTACAGAAGATACATAATCACATCATCTTCCATCCATATGAAACTAAAAATAATACCCTGATGAGAAAGACTTGATACTGTCACGAACATATGAAAAAGAGGGGAACTCGCATCTCTTGTCAGCCTTTGCCTAGGTAAATCTATATTTCCAGACCCTGGTTTCATGTTAATATCTTATTGAGAAGGCTGAAATTAGTTCTCTGCGTCCTTTAGCACTTCTGTCCGCATATTTGCGGCCAATGTCTTGGCGATCAATGTCTTCTTGAGAAGGCTGAAATTAGTTTTCTACCTCTTTTAGCACTTCTGTCGGCATATTTGCAGTCTCTATACACTCTTCACCAACTTCAATTGGTGATAACATGTTCTGGTGGGTCCACCTTTGCTTCTAGCTCCTTGACCATGAAGATTAAAGATCTTATATCCTGAGTTTCTGACAGCTGAGCAAGGGAGGATGACTGCAAAAGAATAAAAATGATAAATAAGTTCTGACTTAGTCAAAATTTTGGAACAAGATTTGTTTCTTGCAAGCAATATGGGGAAAAAACAGAGAACAGTTGTTGGATTGCTTCACTTCTAATGCAAGAAAACAAGTTAGCAGAAAGCACAATTAGTGAAGAGCATGAGCTTAAGCATATCAGTAATAAGAAATCAGAAAGCTAAGGAACAAAGACCCACCTTTTCCAGCAGTTCCACCCGAAGCTTCAGATCCTTCTCAGATGCTTCTTTATGAATTATTTGGAGAATGCAATGCAGGTGAGAATAGAGGAAGTCTTGGCAGTGTTTTCCAATCATACATTGAGGAATTGAGCATTGACAACCCACCATGTAGAAAGGACAATTGACAAGCTTCATTGGACAAACAGTAATGCAATGCCTATCCATCTCACATCTTATGATATTCTCTGAGCACTTCTGTTCACATGGAAGGACCTTCAAAGGGCATACTGAATCATGCTTTTCCATGTGTACTGCACAAAAACTAGCAGTACAGTCCTTATTCATGCAGCTTACAGACCTAAAAATGCATTTGCTGCCATGCTCAGCTAGCTCTTCAGTGGTGTCAAATTTCATTTTACAGTAGAATGTATTCTTGAAATCAACATTCTTCAGAAGAGTCCATGCAATAGCTTCCCTTCTATCCATCAACCAAAACCCATTTATTTCCATCTCTTCTACAATATCATCTATCTTATCCTCCCTATTTTCACTCAGTAACCAACTTGAAACACGAGTAAACAAGTTCCTTTTAGAACTTATGAAGTCATCAATGAAATCTGAAATGATATCAGTAGGATGCTCAGATAATTCTATATCTGGACAATCTTCTTGGATCATTGATTCAGCAATATATGATTCACTTCTCTGGGTAAGATATTCCACCATTTCCTTTCTCATATCAACAGCGACAAGAGAAGGGTCCTTGAAGAGACCACCAGTCGTGTTATCAACACAAGCTGTGGCTAATCCTGGTAGGAAGATTTGTGCTATTTTGTGCACCACTTCTGAATCATAAAGATCACAATGGAATAAGGGGCATCCTTCCTTTACTGCCTCAAGCTTGTTATTATTAGGTCCCAAATCTTTTACTGGAACATCCATCCTTGAGAATAACTAGTTCAACTCAGTGAAACCTTATTCTAACTAATTGTGGTTGGCTATGCAAGCCAATATTCCATTTCACCATAAAAAACCATATGGGTTATTGCAGTAGCTGAGGAAAAATAAGAGTCAGAATAGATGAGGCCTTGATACAAAATAAATGAAGATGCACACACACAGACAAATAAAAGACAAAGAAATACTACCTCATCCTACTGCTTATCCAATGTAGGTGGTACACAGAATTCAGGGGATTACTCATCTTGGATGAAGAACAAACTATGATTCTCATAGAGTGACCAGATTATCCACTAAATCAACCTCAATTGTCCTGTGGTGTATTTAGAGGCTGTGAGCATCAAATAAGAGAACCTAAATGCGTCAATATCCAGCACTGAATGCCTTAACAAATGAATGCCTTATACAGGTCTTTTCATCTATTAAGGCATTCATTTCTAAAATGATATCATGTAAATATGAAATAATTGAAGAAAGTTTCTTAAAATAAGATGAACCATAAAGAAACCAAATTTGGTTTATAACTAATTACTGAAACTAAGAGACAGCGATAAATTACTTCTATGAGAAAGTTCCGTTAGATGACTATTGTCTGATGCCTGAATGAAGAAAGCTTAAAAAAACTCAGAAAATGGAGTCCCCTTGTCAGAAAGCTTAAAAGCAAGGTAAGATTTGTACTGGATACATCCAAAGAAAGGAAAACTGGGTACATCCAAGAAAAACTAATAGAGCAATAGCTGAAACCAAGAGATAATGATAAATTATGTTCTCTAAACAATGCTTCATCATGTGTGTAGCACACAAATGCAATAAAATGTTTGAGATCACCAAAACATCAGAAAATGGAGTGCCCTTGTCACAACACTTACAGAACAAGGTAAGATTACTTCCATCAAGAACAAACTTATAGCTCAAACCAAGCAATACTTTTCTGTTTCCTTTCTTTCATATACTTATGGAGGCATAAGTATATTGCCAAACATTTCCAGTTACATAGTAATTGAAAAGATACACTTTTATTTATGGGATACTCTAAATTCTTTGCAGGCAACTTGATCATTGAGGCCAATAATTTCTTCATAATAATAACAAAATATTGACAAAAATACTTTGAAGTGCCACCTGACTGTACCAAACAAACAAGTACCTTGAAATATAAACTCATAGTTCCTCATAATTTACTTTTTTTTATTAATTAAAAGTGGATTTTAAAAACATGTTCCTATGTTTTCATTCAATTCAACAGTCTAAAACTTTTTTTTTTTTGTGTAACTGTAAGCCTATTCCTTTTTTTTTTATTTTGCTACTAACTGCAAGCCTATTCCTGATGGTTAAAAATTCCCATGAAAATATATGGAGATGAAGGCAAGTTGGAAGTACTTCGTTTGATAGTGAATTTTTATACATTTCAATTGTCCTGGATATTTTTCTTAATTAATCTCAATGGTTCTCAAGATAATGTAAATAATTTCTAAGCAAAACCCTAGAATATCCAAAAGATTTTGTTGACTTCCTATGAATGTGATAAGCACTCAAACAATCGATAAGATGATTTAAACTGCACTAGCATTGTGGATTATCCCGGACTACAATGATTTTTCCATAAATTGTGATCAGTTGGCATTCCCGACTATGATGATCCCTGTTGACATAAAGGATACCTTGAATATGATAAACGCTGAAGGATGAAACATATCATAGCTGTACAGTTCTTGACATTGAGATAACAAATTTTCATGTAGCCAGTTGAACCATAATTAAGCATGTTTTCTGATGTGATACAGATTATTCAACTAGTCAAATGTATGAACTAAATCATCAACACTTTAGCATTTTCTTTTTCTTCTCTTGGATGGGATGGAATTAGGAAAACCTTAGGTGGGGTAGCTCATTATTTGACTCTAGACTTCTAGAATGGCATGGATCACCCAAGAGGTGGTTCCCTGAGAGTAGGGGTGTCAACTTGACCAGATTTGGTCCAATCCGATCCACTCCAATATGAGTCCACTACAAATGGACCAGGTCCCATCCAATCCAATGAATACTTTGGACCATTTTGGACTGGTCCAATTCAATGTCTTGACCGTCAAATCTGTTCAAATTGATTTTAATTTAGATTTGTTCCAATCCAAAGCTGATCCATTGACACTTGTATTCTTATCTTCTATCATTATTAATGAATGGATATTGGTTCAATCTGACCCAACCCAATATAAATCCATTATGGATGGACCAGGTCCAATCCAATCCAATAAATACTTTGGACCATTAAGTCTGGACTGGTCCAATTCAATGTTTACCCGTCCAAACCGAAATCGGTCCATTGACACCCCTACCTGAGAGGAATTGGATCATCTGCATAACATTTAGATGCCAAGCATCATATATTTCCCTCTAGATAAATAATTGTGGGGACAAGATAAATACACATACACAAGCAGTGCAAGGCTATTCTAGTTTGGGGTTATATGGAGCCTGAGCTCGCAGGAACAAGCATTCAGTGGTAATGATCAAGCAAACAAAAAAGAAAACAGTATTGGTGACAATAACCAAAGAGTGCCCACATTTCTTGTAAAAACAAAACAATCGAAAGAAACGATACAGCATGAAGGAAATCCGATAGACCGATCAGATCAAGAGCGTGATAATGATTTGATTGGATACAAAAGTGAAAAACACAAAAACAGATACAACCGTAGCACGTAAGCTCACATCAATTGGGAATTACAGAATCAATTTCACATGTATCGAATCAACAGAACCATATCAAGAGAACGACTAATGCCAACTAACGAAAAGCGAGAATGGAACCGGGCATTCCATTTCTCGAGAGTGAGAATCGGTTTCTCTGGTAAATACGGAGAGAAATCAACGAAATTCACCTTCCTCGAAAGATTAAAATCGAAAAAAATAATATTTTTCAACCATCCACAAAGCCTGTAATGTTTGTGGGCATACCCCTTTCTGGTTTTCCATCTACGTTGATCCACCAGCTGAAGACTGAAATCGCCCCCCGTCGCTGGGTGTTGTGAGATCTCTTACACAGGAATTCAGAGAAACGGAGTTGTCGGTTTACTGGAGAAGAATTTGAAGGGGAACTGGTAAGAAAATTCAAGACGCGCGTTTCATAGACTCACAGTCACAGTCAAAGCCTCAAAGGGATTGCCAGATTGGGGAGCTGACTGAAATTCACCGCAAACATGCGGTATTCTTCTCACACGTGTTTTATTTACCGTTCATTGGATCAAAAATCAAAATAGCAAAAGTTTGCAATTCCTTTAGTACCAACGAATGCAAAACCCATTAAGCCCACTAACGATATTTCCAATGGTGGGAACTGGGAAGAATATCTTTACAAGGCCCAAGCCTATCTTCAAGCCCGATCCATTTTACACAAATCGCGGGCTCATAACTATGAAATGTTGTCTCTTAAAGTCTATGGTTTTGGGCCTACGCCCTATCAGAGATGAGGCCCAACAAATGACCGGTACCTATGCTTTCTTTAATCCACGGTATATGGTTTGTGAATTGTGGTGTATAAATCATCAACATTCATCAATCTGAGCAATTCCTGCGGCTAGGTTTTTAAAATCATCAACCTTGGTGGGATTTTTAAAATCGAACCAGACAACAAATCGTTCAGGGTCCCGTTCCCGGTCGAAAGGTCCAACCTTTCAAACTAAACAGATGGCCTATTCTAACAAAAAATTTAAAATTTTAAAAAATAAAAAACAGGCAAAAACCGCTGGATGGTTTGAATGGCTCAACTGCCCGGATCAGTGGTCTGTTGACCAAATTAATGGTTTTTGGCCAAAATGACAGTTCTGGGGTAAAACGGAACCGGTCAAGTAATTGATTCCTAGTTTTTCCAATCTGAGTCCGGTCCGGTTTTGAAAACCATGTATCCCACCACCTTGGTTGATAGAAGATACAATTTCTCTGTTAGGCTATGTTTGGGTTAAGTATTTTTACTTTTAAGGCCCCGTTCGTTTGTAACAGTGCAGCTTACCCATGTTCTATTGATTTTTAGGACTCCCAGGTAAATAATAAAATGACATTTCTACCCATCAAAAGTAACTCTTAAAATGGGTAAAACAGTCCCATTAGGTTTTGTAAAACTTTCTCCCATATGGGAAAATTACTTACCCACCTAAAAGATGGGTAAGTTTTACCCATGAAAGTAAGGATAAATTTACTGTGGAGCCCATTGCTTAATACAAAAAGAACATAGAAAAGTTGGTCAATGGGAAAAAGTTACCTATTGACCAACTTTCCCATGCATATTTACCTGCAAACGAATGAGGCCTAAGTTTTAATCTAATGGGAGTAATCGGAGCTTCCCTCTTATGGGGTGTTCTTTTTTTGGATTTTGAGAGGGGGAAAGTTGGTCAATGGGGACCAAGTTCTTATTGAGCAAGAATTCCATGTTCATTTTTCAGATTTACGTGGAGACAAGGGAAAGTTGATTTTCTTGGGTATCACTTACCTGGGTATAGGTAGGTTATGGGGGAAAATTGCTAACGCATGAATGGAACAAAAATGCCCCTTTTAATAATAGATTTTTATGGATAAAATGGTCATTACCTTATTTACCTAGGAAATAAAATAACATGGGTAAATGCATTTACTCAGTTAAGTATTTTCCAAGAAAAACTTACCCAAGTAATTACATTTACCCGAATAAATAACTTACTGAAAAGCAAATGAAACCTTAGTTAAATAGCAAAGAACCATCAATCCAATGGCTATTTAAAACATTAAAGTAATGAATTGAAGATTGGTAAAATTTATATAGTCCCAAGTTTTTTTTTTCTTTTTTTGGTATTTTATATAGGCCCAAGTCCAAATTGCAAGTTGTTGATGCAGAAATAGTCCAACTCCAAAACGTCATGTTTTATTGTTTTATTGAATAAAAAAAATAAGAGAGACAGAAAGTTGAGGGATGGCCTTCCATTCAAAATTCCTTAACAACTATCCATAAATTTTATGTTTCTCTCCAATTTTTTTATTACCAAACATAACTCAAGTGTAGATTGTCAGCAGGGGATCTAGTCTGTGTTTGGCATATGCTTTCAAGGAATTAATTCTGATGAATTCTGTAGTTCTGTGGATCTTTTGATTTGGAATGTGTACGAAAAATTGCTAGAATGAATTCCTTTTGATCACAATAGCATTGGAATTGGAATTGGAATCGGAATTGCAATTGGATATTCCGTTTAGACAGGAATCAACAATTGTTGTTTCGTTTATTTGGAATTGGAATTAGAATCAACAAAAAAAAATTCAATTGTATATTATTTATTAAACATTTTTTATTTTATTACTACTTTATTATTTTTGTTATGTTATTATTTTATTAGCACATTATTAAGAATATTTTATTACAAGTTTATTAGTAATTTACTGTTTTATTGATAGTTATTAGTATTTTTAGTATTATTTCACTATTAATCTACTAATATTATATTATTTTCTTATTAGTTTATTAATATTCCTTACTTTTTATTATTTTAATATAATTCTTAATATTTAATTATTTTACTATTAATATTTATTATTATTATTATTATTACTAGTTTTATTTAATTACTAATTAATAACTTATATTTTTGTTTGTTATTATTAATACTATTATTTTATTAATATTTTTATTATTTTATTATTATTTAATTATTAATATATTATTATTTTTATTGTTATTTTAATAATATTTGGATAGTTTTCTGTCAGAATTTCTTTATTAATATTTTGATTCCCATTCCACCAAGGATGTTTTTCAAAATCGGACCAGATTGGATGGTCGGACCAAAAAAACCAGGAACCGGTCACCTGTCTGGTTTCGTTTTACCCCAGAACCGTCTTTTGGCCAAAAACCGTTGATTTGATAGGCAAACCACTGACCCGGACAGTCGAACCGTCCAGTGGTTTTTGGTTGTTTTTAAATTTTAAATTTTTTGTTAGAATAGGTCGTTCGTTCGATTTGAATGATCAGACCGTTTGACTCGGGAATCATGCCCCTGAGAGGTTTGTTGTCCGATTTAATTTTAAAAAAGCTTCCCACCAAGAATGGGAATTGAAATCCTATTCCAAACAAATAAACGGTTGGAATTTTTTTTTTGGGGGGGGGGGGGAGGGGGAAGAGGTAAAAAAATTTAACTTCAATGTAGAATCGTTTTTTGGGTTCACAAGTCATTATTTTCTTTAGAGCAGAATCTTAACCAAATATAACCCCAATTGCCCGACTTATAATAGTTCCTTAGGTATACCAAAGTGTGTGACTGGTATAACATGACAGTGGCACCACCCAACTGGCCAACTGTTTCCATCTAAGCTACGTTTCATGCCATGAAAAGCAAAGCAGACCCAATCACAGCTAATATCATGTGGCTACTTAATAGTGTATTAAATAAACATACACCTTTGCAGATGAATATATTCAGAGAGAAATGCTATTCAACCAAAACCAATTAATGTTATTGTCACGATTTTGGTTCAAATTCGATATCATTAATTCAAAAACTGAGATCGAATTATCAAGGTTTTCTTCTTTACATAGAAAATTGTTGAGTGAGTTGGGACCCTTTTTTTTTCATTTTATAATACAAAAATTAAAATGAAAAACTAATCCAAATAAAAGGTTGTTAGATCTGGAAAAGGCTCTGGTTGAGCTCTCGAGAAGGTTCTGAACTTTTTTTTTTTTTTCTAACGGAAAAAATATATATATGAAAAACCAAAGGAAGTATGACTTCAGCGAATACTATCCAAACATGCCATTAATGCACGCATGGCGACAAGCAAGCCCATGTTAGGCCCACTAGCGTGACCATCTAGTAAAGAAGAAGTCCAAATGGTCCATAAATCTTCGATATCATGCATATGACTGGGGCCCCCATAATGGGCCCACAAATACCTCTTGCATCCTTTATTCTAGTCCGGATCAGTTGCATTTTCTTTCTGTACTTGGTACTTTAACTGCAAGCAATCAGTGAGAATTCAGTTAGACACGTGTAATAGAACACCCGTCGCACACTGATTGGCGATTGCTCAGTGCAGTAAGCTAGCGTAAAAAAGAAGTGCAGCAGATGGGGTAAACTGCAGCTCCAAATCCTTTGCCCAGGTTACCAAATAAGCCCTCGCATCATTCGGTGGACAAATATCCAGCATTGTGTTAAAGTTGGAATTTTCTTCAGGATGACGTGGCAAGTGTCCTTACTGTAACGTGAACTTCTTATTTTTTTTTTTTTATCCTCTGTGAACTCAGCATGGCTGAAGACCTTGTTGATGTGGACAGACCAAAATCTGTCTTCTTTCCCATGTCTCCATGCTTTTTATAAAGTGATGTTTAAGTTTCACTGAAACATTTACAGCGTGGATTGTTTTGATTGGTGTGCAGCTTCATTCAGCAGAGAGCCCACAACATTGCTGCAGAGTGCAGAGTGAATTACTTAGGTAAACCTTATTTCTGGATGGAAACACATGTATTAGGCTGACCTTCTTAAAGGAACAAACACTACAAAACGAAATAGCTGGTTGAATATTTTCACGCACCAAAATGTGTTGCTCCAACTCCCAGGAATTAATTCCAACTACAATAAAGAATAATTCTTAATTTTTTTATATTCGTTGTATAGGATGAAGATATCATTACAAAAATAAAAGCAAAGGAGTAACCAGCAAAACGACGATGGAGGAGGTGAATCAAGTTTGCATCTGCTACACACTTAGCTTCCAACGACACATCTCAATTACAACCTCACAAGTCATCAATAATCACATCCACATTTATACAAGCAAAAATGTTTGCTGTAGCTGGCCAAAAATCATGTTGAATGTTTTGTGGCTAGCGTCGTCTAGTTAGCAGATCCGGCCAGCGTACGAGACTCAACCGACTCCCCGTTTACACAAGCTTTGGCTGGCGAAATGGTGAGCGACAAGAGTTTTCAAGAATTCGGGTCGGATAGTAACAATTAAACATGTTCATGGGTCGGGTTTTGGGTCAGGCGTATTTAAATTTTGACAAAAGTCAAACTCGAGCCCAGCCTATAGGAACAGGTTTAATTACGATACATAGCTGGCCATGTGATGAATGCAACGCATATGAGGAACATTAAAAGAAGTATTTCACACTAGGCTGTATTTTCCGAAGAGTGTAAATGCGGATTCAGTGTATATAATACA